CTTAAAGTATGGATGGGGCGAATTGAGAATGGTAATGGTGAAACTCTGAAAGTGTTTTTGTTTTAAAGATTTTGGTAAAGATGACAATGGATTCGGATAGACCTGAGATTCGATTCGGATCCGACCAATTTATTTGGAGTCACGTCCAATTATTCGGGTATCGGATCTGGGTCGGGCAATATATACCCTTATGGAGTCCGGGTCGGTCTCGGGTCCAAGGGTTGACTCTATCCGGACCCAAATCTAATACATTAATTATATATTTTAAAAAAAATTTCATTTTTAATAATATAAATTATATTAAAAATATATTTTTAGTTTTATTTATTTATTTATTATTTTATTATAATATTTTTTGAATAAAATATATAAATTTTAATATATATGGGGTGCGAGTTCAGGTATGTTTAATTTTAAGTTAAATTTTAAGAATTGTAAAAAAAATATATATATTAACTTTTGTTAATTTTGAATTATATATGTCTAATTTTTGTTAATTTTTTATACATTTTGTTATTTTTATTACATTGGTAATTTTTTTTTCTTTTTATATTGTTAATGTTAATATATTAACTTTCCATGTGATTGAAAACTAGTATATACCAAAAAATTAGTTCGATGTTCCAAAAAAATCAATATGATGTAATAGTATTTTTATAGCGTAACTTTCGATATGCCGAAATATAACATACGCAAAATCAAAGACATTTTTCCAAACTAGTAAAATTTTTACAGTATTAATTTTTCCTTTGTCACCGAGAGGATCAAACACAACCCATAACAATTTAACATTTTGAATCTTATAAGAACTTCGAAGTTAAGTATACTTGTTTGAGGTTTGAATTTTAAGTTGGAATTTAAATGGTAAAAAATTTGAATTTGAATAGTTGTATGATGTGATATAAATAGGTGTTGATGTGATGTTTTAAATATAAAACTGATTTTTAGTATAATATAAAAAATAAAAAATAGATGTTTGATTTGATATTTTTTGGAGAAAAAAATTGGATAAATAGTGTATTTGGGGAAAAACCATCCAAACAAACACACCCTCAGCAAAAATAATGCTAAAATCGATGATTTTTGATAAATCCTTGTGTCGTGGGAACAAAAAAACGGTTAATTCTCTTAAAATTTCTATTTCGCAAATTGTTTTCTTTGTCAGTCATCGCTTGTATATTTGTTCATTTTAACTCCCTATTTATTTCTCACAACTCTCAATTTATAATTTTACGCTCTTTCACTTATAAATTTCTAATTTTGCCGACAAAATAATATTTAATTTATAATTTATATACCAATGTAACTTAAAACTCTTAATTTGTGTAACCAATGATCAATTTTATTATTTCATTTTTCGCAAAATGACGAGGAACGACGGAATATTCGAAGTACATGTTCATTAACTTATTTATATTTTATTCAATCAAAGATTAATATTCTTTATAAATATTTTGTATTAAAATTTAATAGTTGTGAATATTTAAATATATATAATTTACTTGTAAGTATTTATATATATAATTAATCTGCTTATTGTTTAACAGTATTTGTAAAATTAATTATCAAATACATTGATATTTTCTATAAATATTTTGTATTATTATTTAAGGGTTGCAAATATATATATATTTTATAATTATTTGTTTTTCATATTGTTATTTATCTACTTATTTGTTTATTTTTAATGGTAAAAAGTGAAATTATATGGTAGAAATTAAGGATTATATTAAAAAAAAAAAAATATTGTAAAAATTTTAAGTGAATAGGGAGTAAAGAATTTAGTGTATAGAGAGTAAATAAATTATTAAAAATAAAAAATAAATAAAAAAAATTTAGTGTATAAAGAGTAAATAAAAAATTGAATTTAAAATTAGGAAATTTAACGGAATTTACCCAAAAAAAAAAAATATAAAAAATAGTTTATGGGCCTTTCTTGGCAATAAATTGTCGTAAAAGCGTAGTTGACTTCCTCAATTCAGACAACTTTTGTCAAAGGGCACTATTAACAGTAGGAGGAATACTTCCTCAGTCTACAGATTACAGATTACGTGCTTATTTGACTTGAAAATATATTTTAATATATACTCCTTTCGTCCCACGTAATACGGGTGTATTACCGTAAACACGAGAATTTAGGTAAAGTATAATTAGTAAGTAATTAAGAAATGTATTAGTAAAAATAATTATTATTTAGTAAAAATAATTATAGATTAAGATTAAGATAAGTAAATAGTTTAATTAAAATTAAGAAAATTATAAAATTTAAAATTTAAAATGCGATTAAAATGCATAATTATATTTCCAAAAATAGAAAGAACAAGACGGAAATAGAAAATAGGGACAAATTATGTGGGACGGATGAAGTATAATTTTGTATTAATACATTTTGAAATAATATAAAAAATTTTTGGAAGGCTGCAGTTAAGGTATTGACTTGGTCATGTTGTTTTGATTAGTTTACTACACTAATTTGAAATAATTAATATTTTATTACAAGGTAAATAGTATATATTATGTTATATAGAAATATATGTTGTATGAATTATATATTATGCTATGCATATAATTTATTTATCGTATTAAAATTATTATATATTGTACTATATTACATTATATAATGTGTTATCCTATATATTGTATTAATATTTATTATATGTGTTATATATTATGTTGTGTTGTATAATTCGTTTCTTAGTTGAAATCACGATATATTGTGTTACGCGTAATTATTTACTCCCTCCGTCCTTAATCAAAAGGGTCATTTGGAGTTTCGTATTAAAAAATAATAATATTTTATTAATTAGTAGAAACGTGTAAAATTTTTTTGATATTTTTGTCTTTTGACTTTATGTATAAAATAATTGTATGTGTAATGGTATATTTGTTAATTAAATAAAAGTTAAGGATATTTTTACATTAATATATTTTTTTTCTAAAATAAAAAAGAATATTTTGAAGTGTGATAGACGAAAATGGTAGAAATATTACTTTGAATTAGACGAAGGGAGTAATATACCATCCAACCCCCCAAACACACTCCCTTCGTTACCATTGTTGTTGCTCTAAACCTCAAATAGACAAACTCCACCCTTACAACCACGCCATGAGATCCGGGGCCCCTTTAGCACCTCTCTGAGCTAAATCATCCGCAAAACTAAATTTTTTTTTTTTTTTTCTTCTAATAGTGCGGCAATATGAAAAATACTGCAATGAGACATAAAGGCAAAAATTACCTGAATATTATCATCTAATCTCCAAGGGAATTGAGCACTCATTTTCAACCACGCCCCGACCGTAGAAGAATCACTCTCAAAGATTACCTTCGGTAATGGAAAACTTATTGCATATCGAATTTCCTTGAGCACACATCTATCAGCCTCCAACTCCGCCTCCACCGGCAACGCTACCCCAGTATATCTTGACATCATCGTTATGATCAACGCTTTCTCATCTCTCACTACTGCTCCAATCTCTGCCTCTTCCGGACTTCCTCTCGCAGAACTATCCACATTGATTTTCCACCAACCCCCCGGACGGAGGGATCCACACATTATTAGTACACCTTGCCACCCTCTTTTCCTTTCGGAAACAACATAATTGCTCCAAACTTCCATTAAATAGTATTGTGTTGTTATCTACTCCAGGATGGGAGGCGTTAAACCATTTACATACGATCCATTTAACCCTCTCGACTAACTCAACTTCAGAAAATTATTTTATTTGAAAAATAATCTCATTCCTTGATCTTCAAATAGACCAGATAATTGCAAAACAAAGCAGATCCCAAATAAAATTACATGTTAATTGTCTATTAAATTTATTCAGGATTTGTCTATAATAAATAATTTTATTAATTTTATTTTAACAAATACAAAATAATTAATTTACTATTCCCTCTGTCCCGCCACAAATGTCCTCATTTCCCTTTTTGTTCGTTCCATAAAAGATGGCACATGTTTATTTTATAGTAAATTTATTATTTTAAACATACTTAACAAATAAATTAATTTAATTAAATTTCTTTCTTACGCTATGTTCAACTCAAAACCCATTTATTTCTATCACTCTTCTAAATAAATAAATATTTTTATCTGTATTTAGAACTTGTCAATTTATAAAATTGGTTTTAAATTAATTATAAATAAATAAATATATTTTTTTATTATTTGTATTATATAAAATTTTATTATCTACATCTATTTTTTTGAGATATATTCCTAAAAATATTTAAAATACCAACAAAATACTACTGATATAAAAAATAATATAATAATATAATAACTCATTATTAATAACTTACTAATCTACCCTACCATAATAACTCATTATTAATAATTTACTAATATACCATACTTAAATAACCGTGTTCCTAACAAAATGTTCATCTTTTGTGGGACGGAGGGAGTAATATTTTTTCTACATATTTTATCACTTTTTAGTAATTTTTTTAAAATAATAGAAAATAGTTACGGTGTTGATTTAGAAAATTCAACACCGTATTTATTTTCCAAATTAGCATCCATAGTATATACAAACAACACATATTCTTATATTGTGTGTAATAAATACATGTAGTATATTTTTTTATATATAATTACATATGTATTGTATTATATTAATATATACAATATATTATTAATTCATATATTGTACTGTATTTATATTATATTTGATATATACAATGCGAGCGGCCAAATGTACTGATCAGCACAGTACTAAATTGAGGCACCGGTATAAAAACATCATTATTTCTTAACTAACATATAATTCTCCTCACCATGAGAGTATTAGATAAGGATGGATGACCCGTCCAGTAAGAGATGGACCTGTGACGTAAGGGTTGGACAAACCCCGTAATTTATGATACATATTTCGCCTAGTGTAAAAAAAAAAAAAAAAAAAAAAAAAAAGAAAAGAAAAGAAAGAAAGAAAGAAAGAAAGTAAGAAAGAAAGAAGAAGAAGAAGGATGGATGACCCCAATTTTCAAATTTTGAAAAATATTCGGGCCCATTTCCTTGATTGATTAATTAATTACACAGAAAAAAAAATATATATATATATATATCACAACCCCTAACAAACTCCAACCCCAATTCTCCAATTTCATTTATTATCAAAATGGGGAATAGTTTAGGAGTGAGAATGAAGATGAAGAGCACTGCAAAAGTGATGAAGATCACCGGGGAGACCTTCAAACTCAAGACTCCGGTTCGGGCCGGTTCGGTTCTCCTCAACCACCCGGGTCACGTCCTCCTCGACTCCGAAGCCGTCAAGCATTACGGCTTGCGAGCCAAGCCGCTCGACCCGCTCCACGACCTCAGGCCCAGCCGCCTCTATTTCCTCGTCGACTTGCCCCAGTTGCCAGCCGCCGCCGACGACAAGCCGCGCAGGGTCCGGTCCACTATCCAAATGACCGCCAAGGACCGGCTCGAGAGTCTCCTCCTCGCCCGCCGGTCCGCCTCCGACTTGTCCATTTTGAACCCGCCGCCGCCGCCGAAGACGGCGGCGGAGGAGCAGAAGAAAGGCGGCGTGAGAGTGAGGATAAGGCTGCCCAAGGCGGAGTTGGAGAGGCTGATGGCTGAGAGCAGAGACGGAGCGGAGGCGGCGGAGAAAATCGTCGGACTTTACATGGCTAACGGAAACGGAATCCATTCGGCGGCGGCGGGCGGTGGCGGAGATATAATTAAACTACCACAAGGAGCTGCCATAAAGGTCAATTCCTCTCTCAACTAATTTTCTCTTTTAACTTAATTATTTATTTAGAAATTTTAGTGGTTGATAGTTGATAGTTGTTACTTAAAAATATATATATATATATACAGTATTATTTTAAATGTATTTACCTTAAATGAATTATACTCTTTTTACATGTGTTTTCTAAGGGTGTTCCTTTTTAGCAAAAATATTTAATATATTTTTTCAAAAAAATTAATATATCAGGTATTTTAATTATTTTTATATTATTTACACAATTTTTTATCCGAAAAAATAATTTCTCTTTCAAACCAAAACTCAAAATTAACAAACCCTAATTTATTTTTATATCCTCTCTATTTTTCAAAATAAATATATATATATATATATATATTCAAAACTATTTTTATTTAAAATGTGTTTTTTATTCAAAATTTTGCTTTCAACCTAAATCAAGCACCCTATCACATCAAGGGTTTGTTTATTTTGTATTTTTTCATAATGTTTTTTTTTTTTTTGTTAGTTATGAAAATTTGTATTGATAATATAAAAAATAACTAACATGTTTTATTAAATTATTAATTTTTATGAATATATAAAGTATATATAATATGTATTGTGTTAATCTGTATATATTATATTTTTTTTAATAATATTTATAGAGGATCCTAATGCTTAAACAAAATATGAAGCGAACAAATCCTGATGATTTTGATAACAAAAATGAGTCGCTTGTACATCGATCGTGCATATACAATAATATTAGCGAATAAAATTGTAGACAAATTATGGATTTTGCATAAATTGATTTGAAATTGAACTAATTTTGTATAAAATTACTAACTTTGGATACAAAAAATATGCTCAAAATTTTTGTACACAAAAATTAAGTAATATAATACTTTAATATTACATTTTTTATTATTTTTATAAAGATAAAATTAATTTTTTTATGATTAGTACTGTAATTTTTTTAATTAAAATAGATTGAATACAAAATATTTGGATCCATTAATAATACTTCTTCCGTCCCACCTAATTTGTTCATATTTTCTATTTTCGTCTGTCTCACATAACTTATCCTTTTTAATTTTGGAAATATAATTATGCACTTTAATCGCATTTTAAATTTTAGATTTTTATAATTTTTTAATTTTAATTAAACTATTTACTTATCTTAATCTTAATCTATAATTATTTTTACTAATACACTTTTTAATTACTTACTAATTATACTCTACCTAAATTTCCGTATTTATAGTAATAATTTCATATTTTGTGTGACGGAGGGAGTAATTGTGTAAAAGGCAAATAAATCTTTTACTATTTTCATCCCCATTTAAAAAGCAATTCTTTTATAAAAGTAATTACTATATATTTTTTTAATTCAAATTAATTAAAAGTAATTTTGATACTATTTTTATGGCTCATTCAATTTTTTTTTTATTATAATAAAGTTAATAACAAATTAATATTAAAATACTTTTAGGGTTTGTTTGTTTGGGAAATTGGATTGGATTTACGCTATTCATCTAATTTTTTTCCCAAAAAAAAAATCAATTCAAACATCAATTTTTTATTTTTTATATTATATTAAAAATCAATTTTACATTCAAAACATCACATTAACACCTGTTTTATATCACATAATACAACTATTCAAATTCAAAATTTTTACTATTCAAATCCCAACTCAAAATCCAAACCCCCAAACAAACATACCCTTAATTTATACATAATATTCAAAAGAATAGATATTTATATTAACCAATAAAAGAATAAGATGAATAAAACGAATGGAATACTATTCATTAATATTAACTTTTAAAAAAATACTATATCAAATATATATTTATCAAATATTTAATTTTATTTATAATTTTTCAAAAATTTCAATTATATACTCCATTCCCCACGTAACAAAGTATTATTCATTTTCTTTTTTAAATAATTGTACTATCTACCTAATATTACAAATATTCTTACAACTTATAATATATTACACAAATGTCATTACTTTTATATCATACAATACTCATAAAGTTATTTTAGTCATTTTTACTTTATTCCTATTATATTTCAATATAATACTAATATTTCTAAAATTATGTACAAAAAGTAAATAAATATTTCTTTATTTGACGGAGGGAGTATATATATATATATATATATATATGTGTGCGCGTGTTTGCTGTGGCTAAGACTGAGTGAGTGTATTGATTATTTGCAGAAGAAGCGTGTCGGATTCTTACCGTTGCCCATAAATGAAGGCGAGGGAGAAACAGAATTTGGAGATCACATCCCCCTTGCTCTAAATTAAATTTATTATTTTATTAATTACTTATTTAGGAATTACTATCACTTAATATTTTATTTTTCTACCTTTTGTAGTTTATAATAAAGACCCACGACTTCAAATTAAAAATAAAAAATCATTACCTAGAGTTTGATATTTTTATTTATTTTTTCCTTAATACACTGTATACAATTTTTTTTTTTTATCTTCTCTACATATTTTTTTATACTTCACATCAAAAAAAAATAAAAAATAAAAAATTATTAAATTCATTTATAGAGATAAATGAATTGAATTTTAGTTTGAAAATTATTATTGTTATAAACGAATAGAACTCAAACTCACCTTATAGACAACTTGATTGAATTCGTTAATAATAAGAGTATATTTGTATTGTTTTATATATTAGAAATAATTTAATTTTATATTTTGAATAAACTTTTAAATAAAAATATTTTTTAGATTTAGTATATTTGTACGGTACGATACGATACGCATGAATATTCTAGCTATCATTCTTTGTTGATAAATTAAAATAGTACTACATCCGTCCCACATTGGATGTATTGGTTAATGTAGATACGAAAATTTAAAATAAATATAATTAGTAAATAACTAATAATATATTAATAAAAATAATTAATCTATAATATAAAAGTTAATTAAAATTTAAAAAAAAATAAATTTAAAAATTTAAAATAAAATTAAAATACTTAATCATTAAAAAAAAAAAAAAAAAAAAGAGAGTGACAGAAACGACATACAGACAACGTAGTAACTACCAATACCACCACCTAAAGATTCTTCCGAGTCGTTACACTTACCACTCTATCTATATATTCTTTTACATCCTTATTTTATTTCTTCATATCTTTTAGACCAACAAATTTTCATAACAAAACATAAACAAACATACATCTTCATTACATTTTTTCCATTAATCCAACTGATCTGGGACTGTAAGAAAGTATGCTGTCATCGCCTTCCTGAACCTTTTCTTGTACTGTTTCGGCGAAACGATCGTCGGCGACGCGTTCTTCGGCCCTCCGAGAATCCCCGACGCCTTCACCCACGTCTCGAGCTGTTTGTCCCACGTATACTGTCGCATGTAATCGATAATCCCGACCACCAATTCCTTCCTCTCAACATCCTCGCCCACCAGCAACGAGTAATCCATTACATCCACCGCCTGATTGACGCAACGATCGAATTATTACAACAGATATTGATTTATCGACAAAGAATGTAATGATTTGGCTTACTGCTAAGAACGACGTATCGTTCCATATGGCCCTCTCGAGCCTTCGTTTCGCTTTGCTCCCGAGAAAGATTGGATTTTTTTGCAGTGTTTGTAAGAGATTTGCGTCGAGCAGAACTTTGTTCGCCCCCGTTGTGTCTGAATTGTAACGGGATCGCGCCGAGCCTTTCAGATCGTAAACTTTCGATATACTTCTCTTGAAGAAGAGATTCTCCATAACCATTAAATCCATCCTCACTTCCTTCCCCCCACTTTTCATGCTTTTCACATTAACCTAATAAATACGCCAGCAAAACGTTAAATCGACGCCGCAAGAACGGAATTGATTAGAATTTCGAATTTGTACCTGATATACGCCGAGGATTTTGGCGAGGCACGTCGGACTGCCGGAGCTAAGAGCCTCTGTCAAATACTTGAAGTATTCCGGAGCGAATTCTTCGAACGAATCCAATTCCGTCTTTGTCAGCTGTTTAATTATGAACCGATCGTCGAAAGATTTCGCAAAATAGACGTTGCTTTTCCCGCCTTGAGCAATCCACCTCTTGCATCGGCTCAAGGAATGTATAAATTCCATTACGCTCGGGCAACATCGCTTCTGGAGATCATCGAATTGCTTCGCAAAGTAACAAGTGACCGAGAACTTCGTCTTTCCGCCGCCGCCGCAAGACGATTCGTCGTCGAAAGAGACCCGGAGATGAGGGGTGTTGCCTTGCTCTGCAGCAAGGAAACTTTTCGTCGGGAAAGTATCTTCTGAGCTATAACTTCCGAAGTTGACGTGGCTTAAATCCAACGAACCGAATGATGTGAAAGCTGAAAGATCAGAAGCTAGTGAATTCATCTTGTCGGGAAACCCGACGCTCGATCCTCTTTCGAGCCCATTCGGCGTATCTGAGACCCAGTCGTCGTACTCTCTCGAACAAAGGGCATATGCGATTACGCTGGTCGGCTCGTTATCGTAGACGATAAGAGCGATATCGTCTTGGCCATTTTGCGAAACGATCAACCTCGCACCTTCCGGAACAAGAGGCGTAGAGGAAATTAAGGAAGAACCCGAAGAACCGATCAACTTGTCGGCATCATAAGTCGAAAATTGGGAGCAAGATCGATGTAGATTCGAAAGAGGATCCCGGAGCATGTTCCGATAGCTTCCAGGAGGTAGTCCTCTCGTTATTCTCTCTTGAAGCGTCTGAGCAGAATCGAAAGAATAAACTCTAGCCGGCGCCCTTAATTTTCGAAAAGTTGGACTGTGTCTTCTGGCATCGATTTCTTGCCCATCACGCCGGTCAGCTTCGGGTGGTGCCTGATCAGCGCCAGACCACGCAGAATCGATATGTTCCGGAAGGATTGATGCAGCTGAAGAATGCCGACATAAAGATCCAACATTTCCATCATTCTCGGGAATTTCATATTCTCCGTCGTTATTTCTGTGTCGAGGCGGCGAACACTGTTCTTGAAAACCAGGCTCATTCCTTACTACGCTACCGATGTCTCCTCGAGCATCAGAATCTTTCAAATCAGTAGCGTTTGGAAGAGAAGTTCGTTTAATGAGCGAGCCAAGTGAATATAGGCGCCGTTCCCAAACTTGAGAATCCATTAGAAGTGAATGTCGCAGATGATTTATTTCAAAGATGTCGAGAGCAGCATGGTCCTGTTCTTGGCTCTCTTCATCAGCTGAATGAAGCAAATCCTAACGAAGAGAGACAAAAATCAGACCATCCCGGTTTTCACAAGTTCGACAAAAAGTTGCATAGAATTCAAAATATCAAATGATAACAAGCTAGAAATACGACAGAACTTACTTTGTAATATCTCCATTTTTCAGAAAGTGTATCAATTAGCTCCAAGACATGATTGTGCAATTTGGTCGAATCAGAAAAATCGTCCTTAGAAGTTACAGTCTTCAGTTTGAATTTCTCGAGCATCCCTGATATTTCATCGTATAAGGCTTTGGCTTGGCGCAAAACCTGAAAGACAAGAAACAAGAAATGGAATAACGGCGGATATTAACTAAGTAAGATATATTCCCTTTAAAAAGAATTCGAAAGGCCTTTAAAAGTTTGCAATTGCAAGAACCTCAAGTGCTTCTTTCGCTATCCATCTTTGTTCTTGAGGACCGCTTGATTCGAGAACAGAAGGGGGCAAATGAACAGACAAGACGCTAATTGGAGAATACCGAAAGAGAGCAACCATACTGCCGAACCTGTCGAACAGTAAATAACATGATTACAATCAAGGTTCAGTTAGTCTTGAAAGTCACATAGCAAAACAAGAACATAATTTCTGAATTGATTCGACTAATTGTTGCGCACCCGTAAAATCTAAGGCAGTCCCTCTGCAACGAATGACCGCAGCTTGCAACACGGTTTCCTGTCGCTTGATTTGAAAAGCCCAGTTCAAGAAACTTACCGAAAGAAAGCCCCCAGGCAGCATTCGACATAACCACTCTCTGAGTGGCTGGTGGAACTCCTTCAACATGTGCACATCGGAGGCATCTGTGCCACATCCATATTTTGCCGTCATGTTCCCCAGGAAGCTTAACAGTAGGCAGGTGCCGAACATTAATCGTAAGATTTCCATGCTGATGAGTATAACATAAGACGTGGGCTTCAGCTGATTCCTTGCAGGATAGACACAAGAACGACTGGCAATACGAATAATTTCAATTAGATTTAAGTATATTGAGAAACAAGAAAGCTATTCGGATATGGGATTACGATGACAAACTTACCCGATCAAACAGATCACGGAGGTATCTTCCTAGTGGTTTATCGGAAGTGCCGTAAAACTTCAACCGAAGGAGGCGGGATCGTTCACATGAAGTTCCATTCACCATATGGTGGCTGGTGAAAGAAACTAATATGCTCTGACGACTGTCGTTAGACGGCATGGATTCACTGGGGGATTCAGGATTATCAAACTTTACGGTATTCGTATCTAATTCAGCCCGTATCTCCGTTTCGATGCTTGCACAAGTTTTCTTCATTTCATCAAGCATCAAATCCGATGCCAAATTTTCATCACAAGCCTCAGACAGGACATCTCTGTATCTGAACTTATCAGTCAAAGTAACATGATCATAATTATCGTCGCCAGGCTCAGACAGAGATTCCTGCAATCCGAGCTCCAAACTACGATCAGTTGGTATAATCTCAATATCAGATATTTGAATTTCTTCCTTGCAATGGGAAATTACTTCAGAATTGGGGATTATGGTGATGGACTTTTCGGGGACCATCTTCTCTGTAAAGACAAACGGAAATTTTGCAGCTGGCATTGGAAGACTAGCACCCTCGTCTGCCAGAAAAGAGGTCTCTAGCAACAAGTGATATGCAGCGAAGACAGCATATTGAGCTACATGTTTGACCTTCTTAAGTTCTTCGCGATTACAGCCTCGCAATACAATCTACAAAACAAGCAACGAATGGAATTAAATCCTACATTAGTTCAGAATGACTGCATACATCAGAAACAATATTAATTAAACACATATGAGAGTATAAGTTGAAAAAGAGATAAGAAATTAAGACATAGGCCTTATAAAATACGATATGCATATAACATATATTTCTATAGACGTAGGTAGAGGTACTACCGTACAACCAAGGCGCCGAGGACACCCCTCGAAGAACATCAAGGTTTTCGATGGCTTTTTATTGAACTGATTAACCGGTTCATGCTCTTCGGAAAATTTCTCGAGGTGAAAGAGCTCGCAGTACCCCAACCTAGTCGTGGATATGTGATCGGTCGAAAGAGCTATAGTAGCACCACTACATTGAGCTATTCTTTCCAAAAGTGGTCTCTTAACATTTAAAACTAAAGAGATCTCTTTTTCTAAGAGAAGCTCCAAAGCAAATGAGGATACGCTTTTTTCCACGAGCAGAACATTCGGACGATGAGCCTCTATCTTTGAAACAATAGTCTTAAGATGATCATTTTCCTGATTCACAAAGCATATCCATAAACCGTGAGACATTAATGTCACGATTATGGGAAATTACAAGAGATGAAATACAAGAATCAGGATGAACCTGTTGAAGTAATGTTTCGAAAGATGACAGCTTATTGGAAACTCTTTGGTGCTCGAGGGCTCCTCCTAATAGAAGCAGCCGAGCATTTTTGTATTGCGACGTCATGCGCTTATGTTTTATGTTCTTTGTACAAACAATTCCTTTGATAAATGAGCTGCACAGAGAAACAATAAACTTGCACTCTTAGTTACAACTTTGGAATGAAGAACTAATGATCATACACTGACAAACAACGAAAATCCTATTTTGTGGTAACATGCATATTAGAATATTATCGAAGTAAAAAATTGTCTGTACTATTTCACAAATGATAACTCTGTATAGTGCAACATCACTATGTTTTGTATTTGGACTATAATGGAAACTTGATTTTTTATTTTTCATTCTTCTTTTTGTAAATTTAGTATCATATGCTGCTAAAATTAGGAGAAGTTCTTCAACTACCAACCGTAGCGTTTAGAGAAAGAGGCAAATAGCATGAGCAATAATGATACTGGTAATACGACCAGAAATATACCATTGCTCAAGGAAAAACATGTACAAATTTTGTAAAACAAAAGGTTATGTTCACAAAGTGAAGTATAATTTGAGAAAAACCACAAATAGAAATACAAAAATGCCATTGTTTAAAGCTATGTCTACATGTATGGAATGATTGATTAAAGAAAATTCGCATTTAGACTCAATAAATTGCTTCAAAAATTCATGCATAGAGAAAACCAGTATAGACTAACAATATACTATTCATAAACAATTCAACAATTATCCCAAGTATTTAGTGACGACAATTTCTGTTCTAGTCATCCTGAGTTTAACAAGGTTCCTTAAGTCCTAGTTGGGTAAAATTTTGTCAAGAAAGTCATTGAGGATACACAACAACCACAGAGTGCTGCCTTTGCCGATGACTAAGAACTATTCTCAATGAGGTTATTAGAGTGTGTGGAGGTGAAAAGTCGTAAATTGGCAGGAATTTACCTCTCGCTAGATTGTCCTGAAGCTACACATTTGATTTTTAAATAGTCACATGGATCCATGCTGCTGCCTTTGCTTCTATCCGGCTTTATGTAATTTACAGCTTGCCATGCCAAAGCTGTTATTATGTCAAGCCAGTTTTCGGTGCAGTTACCTTCAGCAGCAATTAAGCCGTGCCCTTCAAAAAGCTGCGAAACAAGAGCTCTAAAATGTCCCTCTACCATAGTTTTCCATACTTCCCGGGAATTGAAGTGCTCTTGTTTGGATAAGAATACATTATCAAGAGAAGAAGGGCAAAACATGAGGCTAGAATCCCCAATTTCATCATCTTCGTCATCATAGGTGAATATGCTCTTCTCCACTTCATTGTGCACATCACTTGGTGGAGGGGGTAACCAAATAAGACCATTCCTTTCGAAATCCAATAGTTTCGGGAAGTTTCCATGCTTATGTTGATGTTCGGACCAGTTGTTAGTATTATCTGCACTGCAAGTCTCTTTAGCAGGCCTTTCTAAAACAGCTTGCTCTTGGTCACAGGGACTATCATTTTGAGACCGTTCGGTTCCCACTTCCTTTACCTGTACATAATGCCCAGCTCTAATGGATTCATCGAGCCTAGAGGGGCTGTTCGACAGGCTTGACCCTACAGACATGAAACTACTACAGAATTCATGGTCAGCACTAGCACTACATGAATCTACATCAAAAGAACTGTTAAGGCATTCGCCTTGTGCAATGAAGAAGTGACCGGAGGCATCCTCTTCCTCATCTCTACTGCTCCTGCATTAGAAAAAAATTATCATCGCGTTACTATCAAATTTTATGTACGATGTGGCTCAGGTAGTCCCAATAAGTGATTTAAACAGGGTACTACAGATGCACAAAATCTCAGTCATTAATAATAAGCTTATCAACAATAACTTTCCATAAATCCAGATTGGAAAGTGGCAAAGAAAATCTACTATAAAGATCTCACATTTAAACGAAATAATTCTGAACATTTCAAAGGAAATGAAAATCTATTGTAACCAAATAAAGCAAATTTTGTAGGAGAGTGGTGTGAACACATTACCTGGTTGGCGAACAATGTACAGATGGCGGAGAAGAAGGGTTCGATACCGATACATCACTATTTCTGGTACATTCATGCTGAGAATGAGCACCAAATCTCTCACCACTAATATTTGGTGATGGTGACTCAGATAATTGTCTTGGCGAATCCGAGGGATGAACCTTACCACTTTTACTCAATGGACTGAGTTCAAAACAGAGATTGCACGATTTAATGCTAGTAGCCGCCATGTTAGTCTCCATTAAAGCGGATTCAACTCCAACAAACTGCGCAAGTCCTTGAATACAGCTCCCACACATCAGCTTTCCGCAGCTTTGACACTCATATTTGAGACAATATTTTAATAGGCTCTTCTTGCAACTGCAACACACACTGCAATTGCCATCCACCATCTCAAATCGAAAGAATGGAGAAGATGAATCGAAATTTCCCCAAGACAAACAAGATCTCAATGCCTGCAGCAAAGAACTATCGTGCATTCCCGCAGACAAGAAAAATACCACAATACATTAAAGCCGGAAATATAGCTGCTGCTCTTCCCTCTTCTTCTATTCCAATTTCCAACAAAGAACAATTCTCAATTTCGAAAGACTGATTTAAGCTGAAACTATCAAAACCCACAACAAAAACAGTGGGCTCTTTATCCTTTTTTTTTTCTTTTTTTTTTCCTTTAAATCCTCTATAAAATCAAAGTGGATTTTACCAGCAAAGGAAACAACATCAAAGCTGCCCCTAGATTCATACAAGGGGAAGGAAAATTCGAAAATATACACCTCAGGCTGTATAACTATACAAGAGAAAATGCAATAATACAACAACAGCAAATCTAAAGGGTATTATGAATCCCCAAACTCTCGAAATAGAGTTTAACCTATCCTAGAATCATCATCATCAACAATTCGATTCCTAAACTGATCATTTAATCAAAAGCTACTCAAGATCCAGAGCTCAGACCAACAAAAAAACCAGAAACCCTAAATCAAATTAGCTGTCCCCGATCAAACAGTAAAAAAGCAAAAGCACATCCACCAACTCAGTACAATCCGGAAAGTTCTAGAACTCAGCAATTCAATGCAATTATTAGGTAAATTAGATTCAATGGATAAAAAGATGTGAGCAAGTTTCATCTACGTGTGTTTAGAAATCTCCGTCAGGTGGAAAAGAAACCTAATCGGAGCAGGGGAATTAAAGGATGAAGAGCAGAAGAATAAGAAGCAGGAAAAGGAAGATGATGGAGAAGGTCACTTTTCTAGCTCCTGCTGCTGCAGAAATGGCGATGGCTCGCGTCTCCATGTTCAAATTTGATTTTCGCTGCCTGCCTTGCTTCTTCACCAAGAACAGCAGCCCTCTCTCCCTCTCTCTATGATTCTGTTTCTCTCTCTACCCCTAACCAGCCTTCTTCACTTTCTCTCTACAGCTACATTAAAATATTCAGATATATACCGCCATTATTGCATTACGTAATTCTCCACATGAGTTCTGTAGCCAACCCAACTTTTTAGACTCTTTGCATACATTTTATTTTAGGTTGTGTTTGGTTGAGTTTTTATTAAATTTTATTAAATTTTTTATATAATTTTAAAAATTATGAAATTGAATTTTTATTTTTTATTATAATAAAATACTACAATTTTAGATATAAAATATCACTAATCAAAATCTATGTATATTTTATTGAATAATAATTTAATATTTTAATATTTAAAATTCAAATTCAAATTTAGAATTTCAACCAAACACATTATTAGGATTTGATTTTTCTTACTATTATGTTAAATACAATTTTCGCCATGTTTAATAATAATACAAATTATTTTTCTAAATAACACATTAAAAATACTATTTAAACAAAAAATTTAAATTTAATGTTTTATTTTAAATTAATTTTAATTTTAGTTGTATTTTGAATTTTTATTTAAGTTATTTTAAATAATATTTTGATATGATATTTTATATTTTATTTCCGTCCAATTTTATAATAGATTAAAAAATAATAATAATATTTTATTAATTAATATAAATATATTTATATAAAAATTAAAAATTATTTTAATATTAAAAAACTATTTGTACTGTAATAAAATTAAATACTTTAGAGTATAATATCCATAAAACCAAATATTTTCAATTAGAACAAGAGAAACAAAATAATATTTCCTAATAAGTTTACATTTACTTTTTTGCGTTATTGTACTTAATATTAAAAATATTTTTATTGATAACTCGAAATGTGTGAGTTTGCTATGTTTATCACAAATCCACAGGGAATTTATATTAAAAAATCAGTGAGTGGAAGTTTATATAAAAGCGATCAGATATAGTAATTTTGTGGTTGTAGACCCTGAGTTTCCAGGTCGAACAGAAGGATTTTAAGTCATGAATTTCACAGATAAAAATCTTAAGAAAGCGACGAAAATGCATGAGGGGATCCGCTTGCAGCGGATTCAAAATTTTAATCTATTGAAAACAGTAAATAAAGCGGTAAAAAAAAAGATGAGCGGGGGCGAGCGAAGCGAGGGCGGAATATGAAGTGCCAGCGGTAGCCAGATGATCGGGACATGAGCGGAAGTGGGGACCAGATGAGCGGGACATTGATGAATAGCGGAGACCGAGTGAACGGGACATGAGCGAGCGGCACATTATATATATATATATGTATATGTATATAGATGAGCGACAGAGAGTGAATGAGAGGTGTTGTGTCTGATTTGTGCGTTACTAAATGGATATATTTCCCTGGATGAAATGAGCGAGCGATGTAAATGTGTTATCGGAACTATATGTATAGTACGGAAATGGTTAGAAGGGGATGGTGTAATTATATAAACTGAAATATAAAGAACTCACAACACTGGAATCTTGACCTTGGGATTTACAACAAGACTTCAATGACACCCAGAATCATGATATTATAAGAACGAAACCCTACTGTCACTAAGAATCTCTGCGACCTAATAGACCACCGCCTATGTCCCGTTAATTATCCCAACTTCTGCCTCATTAGTGGCTTTACCCTTCTGTTACCTCTTTTTAATCAAAATTGAATTCAGGACAATAGTTAAGCAGGTCGACAAGGCTCTCGCGTACTTAACTACATTGAACTACCTTGAGACCGCTTCTGGCGCATAACAAGGCTTAGATAATCAATTCTTCTCATGCCCTAAACCAGTGAAGTGAAATTCTTTAAATTCAAACTTTATATAAGTATGTAAAAAATGTGGAAGAAATGAGGATGAATAACTGAAGATATTTCATTATTTACTATGAAAGCAGGGAAAGACTAGAACTACAAAGCTGTAAACGAAAACAGTAATCTAATCTAAGAAAGCTGTAAAGACTCGGCCAAGGGAGGAAGGGAACTCCTACTCCCGTTGCCATTCCTGTGGAGAACTCCCTTACAGGGTTGGAACTCTCGGAGACAGAAAGACGACTGGAATGCAAAAAGTAATTGCTAAGAGAATCTAAATCGAAGTATCGATTCCTTTTACATAAAGATATCTGGCCCTATTTATAGCAGGTTAAATGGGACGGTTGCAATCAGTTGCTGGCGGTTCCAACCGCTAGGCAATCAGGCAGTTACTGGTAGTTATTCTGTTGAAATAGTTGTTGGCCGTAACTCCCAGGGCGCTTCCTTTGATCGCATTGAATTGCAAGAGCTCAGATCTTCCTCGCTTGCTGGAAGGCTGGAGGGCATCAGCGCAGCTAGGCTCGCTTGTGCTGGCTGGAAATGAAATGGCTTTACCGCTGCAGTTGAAACACTTAGTTGGAATCTAGTGATAATCCGCAGTGGTGGGATTCTGGACTGTCGCTTGCAAGCGGGAGAGGTTGTCGCTTGCGGGCGGTGAAAGCTACCGCTTGCCTCTCATGCCTTAGTCTTTTCCAGGAAGTATCTTGGGCGCTTGCGAGCAGAGGTGGCTGCCGCTTGTGGCGCATGCCTTAACTTTTCTGGTACCAGACTATCACTTAAAAAGGGCAAAAATCGTTAATAATCTCAACAACGAAATCTGGATCATGCTAAGCGATATAGATCAATAATATATGCCATTTACAAGTTATTATGATGGTTTTTACACATAAATTTAAGTAATACACATTTTTGTCAAGCTAAGAATATGCTCATATTTGAAGTCATCATTTATATTTGTATAATTTTTTTTATAAACGTTATTCTATTAGTAACGTTACAAATATCCTTACAACTTACAATATATTACACAAATGTCATTACTTTTATATTACATATACTAATAAGGTTATTGTTATGAGAAAACGAAAAAAAGAAAACAAATAAAAAACACAGAGGTTTTACGTGATTTGGTGACGGTGTGTCAACCTACGTCCACGGGCAGGAACCGGAGAGATTTTATTATGTTGACTCAGAGATTTACAATTATTTCATCCAACTAAGAACCATAGCTATCTATTTATAAGCACCCCAAAATACCCTAAACCCTAAGCCTATTTGTTAATAATTAGGATAAGCCCAAAACGAACCCTGTCAATTGAAACAGCCCTTTCGCTTTGGTTTTGGGTTGGGTAGACCATTAAATCCAAGTCACGTTTCAACAATCTCCACATTGACTTGGAGTTTCTCCAACCACCAAAGGTTCATCAGTATCTCTCAGTCGTCTCATTCCTGCCAGATGCCCCGAGAGAGCTTTACCTCATGCGAATATTCACCAAGTTCAAGCAGTGCTCAAACATCTCTGTCGATAGCGCCTTTGTCAACATATCAACTGGATTGTGTTATGTAGCTATTTTTTGAATAGAAAACTTGTCTTCCTCCAAAACATCACGGATAAAATTCAATCTTACATAAATATGTTTGGTTCTCTCATGATATACTGGATTTTTAGCCAAACTCAAAGCACTTTGACTATCACAGAATAACACCGGTTTCTCCACCTTCAGACCCAAACTCTGCACCAGACCATGTAACCAGATACCCTCCTTAATACCTTCAGTCATTGACATGTATTCTGCCTCAGTCGTTGACAGTGCAACCGTAGGTTGTAAAGTAGACTTCCAACTTACTGTACATCCAAACAGAGTGAAGATAAAACAAGTCAGTGATCTTCATTTCACCAAGTCACCCCTGTAATCAGAGTTTGCATAGCAAACAAGACCATCACCATGGCCTTTATCATCGTATACCAGACAAATATCATACGTTCCTTTCAAATATCACAAGATCCACTTTACAGCTCCCCAGTGAGCTTTACCCGGATTAGCCATAAACCTGCTCACCACACTAACCGCATAAAGCGAGATCCGGTCTCATACATACCATCGCATACATAAGACTTCCAACTGCACTTGAATATGGAACCGTCTTCATGTAACTAACTTCTTCATCTGTAGCCGGTATAGTGCTTCGATTAAGTTTAAAGTGTGCCGCCAAAGGGGTACTTACCGGTTTGGACTGATCAACAGATGCCTGCAAAACTTTCTCAATATACTTTTCTTGAAAAACAAATAGCCGTCTTGCTTTTCTATCACGCCAGATCTCCATACAGAGTATTTTCTTTGCCGCACCCAAATCCTTCATCTCAAACTCACCCTTTAGTAGATCCTCCAAGTCATTAATTACAGCCATGTTTTTAGCTGCAATTAACATATCATCCACATACAACATCAGATACATAAAGGAATCAGTAGAAACTTTATTCAGTTATCAAACTGATTACGAGTATAACCATTAGACACCATGAATGAGTCAAATCTCTTGTTCCATTGCTTCGGAGACTACTTCAAGCCATACAGAGATTTCTTTAACAAGTATACCTGGTCCCCTTTAGAACTGTAGAACCCCTCTGGTTGAGATATGTAAATCTGTTCTTCTAGATTACCATGAAGGAATGTTGTTTTTACATCAAGCTGCTCCAGCTCCAGATCAAAAGCACCCGAATGGTTTTGTGTTTCACCACAGGAGAAAAGACTTTATGGTAATCAATTACTTCCTTCTATGAAAACCCTTTTGCTACGAGTCTCGCCTTGAACATAGCAGGTTCAACACCAGAAATTCCCTCATTTCTTTTAAAGACCCACTTGCATCCCACTGGCTTCACCCCTTTTGGTAGTGCAACAAGATCCCAAGTCTTGTTTTTTTTCAAGAAACTGCATCTCTTCATTCATTGCCATAATCCAGGTTTCTGCATCTTTACTCGCCACAGCTTCTTTATATGTCTTTGGCTTATCAGAGCCAAGATTATCATCAACCGCCAGTGCATAAGCCACAGAATTCATGTCACATGTATTGACACATCCTGCAAACCTAGCTAGTTTCTGAATATTTCTCTTTCCCTTTCTTGTTGCTATAAAATCTTCAACCCCAGTACCAGCGTCATCAGCTTCCCCCTCAACCGGGTTTCCTTGAGGTTTTGACTGATCTGGTTGATCGGATTGATCAATAGTATTATCCTGCTCTTCCTCTAACACAACTCTGTCAGG